ATAAGGAGGAAGCTGTTCCCCCACTCCTTACCTTGCAGATGTGTGTAGAGATCAGCCACAATCACCCAGGGAGGATCTGGCAGGATTCCCACCAAAGCAGAGCTGCTGTTTCAGCAGGTTTTTTCCCCACCCTCGGGTGCTTCCAGGAGGGGAGGCCCCATTCATTTTGTCTGCCAAGGTGTAATACTCTGCTCACATCAGTGTTGTGATCCACGTGTGTGAGCGTGCTGCAGAATGCCCAAGGGATGTGCCACGTGCTGACCAGTGCCCTGCTTCTGTGTCCTCAGGATGCTGGATGACTTCTCCCACGAGTTAGACAGCACTCAGTCGCGCCTTGATAACGTCATGAAGAAGCTGGCCAAAGTGTCTCACATGACGAGTGGTAGGTCCTAGGAAGTGGGATCCAGTCCCTGGAAAGGGACAGACAAGCCCTTGGATCTTCAGGCTGGGACACTGTGCTCCCACCCATCCAGCCAAGGGGAGGGAGCAGCTCTCAGTTCTTGAAAGAAGGGGAAGGTTTCCAAGCCCGGCAGCTGCTCCTGCCCAGACACTGCTCTGCTGCCTGTCCCCTCCCTTTGTTTTATTTACAGATGCCTTTCTATTTATGCTGCTGCTGCTGGGAAAATCCCCCTCTAGCTGGTGGGAGGGGATGCTCTGCAACCTCCTGCTCTGCTGCAGTTTCCCGGGCTGCCTGTGGAACAAAAGCTGTCAAGGTGCCATTAAACACGGGCCACTGTGTGCGGCCTACCCTGCACCAGAATGCCCGCAGCAATCCCCTTCCCAAATCCCACCTGCCCTGGGGCTGCTGGTGCCTGCAGGCTGTTTGTCGGTCACATCTGTCTCAGCTGGTAGAGGAAAGGGCTGAATTCTGCACTGAACCCACAGAAAAGTCCTTATAAGGCTGTGCCTGAAGCCGGGGGCAGAGCAAACAGGAAGCCCGGCCTGGCTGCTGGGAAGTGCCGCTGCCGGCTGCCTCTGAGCCTGGCTCCGTGCCCGGCCAGCGCCTCCTCCAGCACCCCTGTCCCTTGGGTGCTCAGGACCTTGGGAAGGCAGCAGCCTGTCAGGAGGAAAAGCATTCCTGCTCTGCAGCATTAGGCTATCTGGGATTTATGAGGTAGTGGGGATACAGCCCCAGAGAGACCACTTGGAGTGCTGGCAGTGCACTTTGGGTCAACAATAGCTCAGCAGCAGCACTACCACGGGTGAACACTATGTCTCTGCCCTTTCCTGTGGGAAAACCCGTGGATCTCTGCCGAGTGTTTCTGAGTGTTGTGAAAGAGCATTTCTGCTGGAGTCACCTATGCCAGGGAGAGCAGGAGGGCTCTTTCTGGGTAACTTCTGTGCCTAGGAGTTGAAGGGGTGCCAGCAGCCGTGTCCCCACTGCTGCACCATCATCTCATGGGGAAGACGGCTCTCAGAGGTGATGTGAGCCAGTCTCAGAGGTGTGTTGAGCCAATGAGGTGTAAAGATGTCCAGGGAAACCTAATTCCTGGCCCTGTCCTAAGGGAAGCTGCCACAATCTCTTCCTGGCAGAGCTCCTCAGGGCAGCTTTCACCAGATCCCTTCCTGTTCCTCTGGCAAACAGATTACTCCATGAATGAACAGCAAACACAGCAGCTCTCTGCTTGCTCCTCCCAATTGCTTTTGAGCCAGCTTTTCAAAGCTGTTTGAACTTGGTTGGGAAGTAGCCTCAGAATTCCCACAGCTGTTCCCAAACCCCAGTGTATCCTGGAGGAGAATGCCTCACTGCAATATTCAGTGCCATAGCCTTTCTCCCACAGGAACTGGTGTTTTGGCTTTTTGTGGCTTAAGCTTGAATTTGGTTCCTAGCAGTACACAGAGAAAAATGCTCCTCCAATTTACCTTCTCCACTAAAGCAGGAAAACTGATGCTTCCTTTTCTTTCCAGATCGACGGCAGTGGTGTGCAATTGTTGTCCTCTTCGTCATCTTGCTAGTGGTGCTCATCCTGTTTTTTGTCCTGTGATGACAAAAACTGAACTTCCTGGGACGCCCCCTCCCCGCCCCCTTGCCCTGGCAGCGCGGGGAAATGAAACTCTCCCCATTTCCGTCCGCCCTCAGAGATCCCCGGCAGGAACACCCGCGCCCGGCTCTCACCATCCTCCTCCAAGGACTGCGGCTCAGCTGCGCTGGCATCTCCCCTGGCCCGGGGAGAGAGGGCGGAGCGCTGGAGCTGCTCCTGCCCTGCTGCGGTGCAGTCTGACCCCAGCTCCGGGTCTGCATCCCTGAGCTGCAGGGGGACCTGACCCCCGCGCTTCCACCCGGTGCAGGTAGGAGCCGCTGAGAGGCGGACACAGAGCAGCGAGCCCTGAGGAGGATGTGACGGGGGAGGAGTTACTGAATTCACTGAGCATTACAAACTGCGCTGCCAGTGCCAGCCTCAAGCGTTACTGGGAACAGTGAAACCCCCCCCAAGCCGCAGCAAGGGAGGGGAGCCCTGGCCCTGCTCCCCGTGCCCCCCCCTGCCTTCTGTGGGCGGGCTCTGTAGCACCAGTTGTCTGCCGAGAGAGCACGGTGAGTCCTACCAGAGCTTTCCTGCCCTCTACCTGGGCAGATGACAGAGCTGTAGGGTCTCGTGCCCTGCCATCGGCCACCCAGGCCCCGTCAGACACCCCAGAGCTTTAAACCTGGGGTGCTGCACACCGAGCACTGGCAATCAGCCGTGAGCCAGAGAGGGAGAGTCTTGAAGCTTTTAAACTTGCCTCCCTCATTATACAGGCCTCTAAAGCTCATTGACTGATGCTTTCTTTGCCCTTCTGTAACTGAGTCACTGCTTCTGTTTAACAGCTGCTTCCCTTTGGCAAGTGATTTGCCAAGTCTAAAATAACTTATTTTTTTTAAGAAAAAAAAAACTTTAAAGATTTTTTTTGATGACCATTAGAGCCACGTTCTCTCTGCGGGTGCACGACACACATGATCAGAGGAACAGTGCTCAGTGATGTATTTTAAGTGTATATGAACTTGTAAATAGAAGTCTTAATTTTTCCCAACCGCTATTTTTTGGACACCTCCATTGTAAGCAAACAAAAGGCAGGAGATTCAAAGCTAGATCATGTTTCCATATTCCTTCCCAGTCCTTTTGTTACGTCCCAGTTGTTTGTCACTAAGTTGTCTCAGCAGCGTTGGATTCCCTAGAGGGAATGTGAAGTAGCCAGGTGGGCAATACCAAAAATGTGTTGAAAAGAGTTCCCCTAGGCAGTATCACTGCAGAGAACAGGCAGAGGGACCGTGCTGCAAGCACCAATTGTGGGATAGGGGGTGATTCTTGAAGAAAGCAAAAACATTTTCTTACTCACTCTGCTCCCATATTTTAAGTTGCAAACATGAAAAGACTCAGCACAGGCTGGCTTATGGCTCCCAGATGGAGCTGTGGGAGGAAGTTAATTGGCACTGACGCAAAGACTTCTGCTGAAATTGCAAATCACCCCCAAAATCATCCCCCTCGCCTTAGAATCTTGCCACCGGACGGCTTTACCTCCGGAACTGAACACTCCTCCCCCCCGGCTTCGTGGCTCCCTCCGAGGTCTGCGTGCCGCAGTCCCTCCCGCAGGCGCTGGATGCGCAGCCGGCGGCTCGGTGCCTTCCGCAGCCGGGCGGGGCCGGCCGGAGCCTCCAGCCCGCCCGGCTGCTCCTCAGTCACGCACACGTGGTGCCTCGGCGCCCACCCGCACTCGGGATTCGAGTGGCTCCTTATCCTTGCAGAGCATCCCTGCAGGGAATAGGTGCTGTCTGCTTACGGACTCCGTGGGTCTGTACCTCTCCAGGAGCAGGCTCCCAGGAGCACGGGTTCCCAGGTTCCTGGGAGCAGGGCTCGCTGCTGGCTGCTGTTTGCACACCTCTGATCCCCATGTTACTTCCAGTGTGTTTGTGCATCCTTCAGGAGTGACTCCCATGTAGGACTGCTCCTTTCGTAGTCCAGGGGGTGGCCCAGCTGCTGACATCACCACAAACCACCCCAGTGTCTCTGGTCCCTTTCCCCATGTACATTTGCTTTTCTGTCGCTGGTGGTGCCCTTCCCTTTAACACTAAATAAAGGTGCAGCAGCGTAGATCTCCACTCCTCCTTGCCTGACTCTTGGTCCTGGGACAAACTTCAGGTTCCCTGGCACCAGGGAGTGGGAAAAGCTCTCCCACCAGCATTTGCCAGGCATCACCGTCCTGGTTTTTGAGACATAAGCAGCATCTGCAGTTTCTGGGGTCAGTTCAGCATTGTGGGCAGCTGTGCCCAGCTGTGGAGTTCCTGCAGACAGCGGTACCAAATGTGGGGCACCACCGTACAGAGGGCAGCCACTGCTGCTGGAGACATTCCAAGGATGTGTTTTGTCTTCCATGGCTGGAAAAAAGAACCCCTCAAAATCCCCGAGGAGCCCTGCAGGTGGCTGAGCACCCCCACCTATCTGCCCAGGGCCCCCCAGCACCACAGCACGGTCAGGAGGTGGCTGGTGGAGCAGCAGGGCCATGGGAAGAAACAAGTAGCAAAGGCCCTGTGGGCACAAGCACCCCCCACCCCCTCCATGCCACAAGCCAAGGGCACTGTTTTCTTGTTGCAGAGATGTATTTTTGGGTTTCAGTTTGAAATAATTTAAAAGAGCCTCACCAGCCCTCCAGCACGAGGTGGCAGTGCTGGCAGGAAGCCCTCTGTCTCCTGGGGTCACAGAGATGGGGTGTCCTCATGCTGGTCACCCCAGTGCCCAGCAAGACACACCCACCCAGCTCTGTCGGGGCCAGGCTGTCCCCTGTCCCCCACACCTGGGCAGCTCCTGGAGACTCTGGGGGGATCCTTGGTCCCACACTCCCTCCAGGGGGACACACAAAGCCACCTGCCCCCACTGCAGTGCGGCCGGGCAGCTCCTGGCGCTGCGAGGCAGCTTGGTCCATGCCGTGCCTTCTGCAGCATCCCGGGACATCAGTGGGACGTGCTCCTTCTGCCAGCACTGGGACGTCTCCTCCTCTTGCCGGGCTCGGCGGGAGCGGTGCCAGGGCTAGCGCGGCGCGGGGCGGTGCCGCAGCACGCGCAGGGCCAGGCTGTCGGCCCGCAGCAGCAGCTGGCGGATGTGCGCCAGCCCCAGCCCCGAGACGGCCGCGCCGTTCACCTGCAGGATCTCGTCCCCCACGCCCAGGAGCCCCGCGTAGAGCTTGGCCGTGCCAGCATCCGCCATCTCCTGCACGTAGACACCTGTGGAGGGAACAGGGATGGATGAGAGCCCTTCCTGGCCCAGGAGCTGCGCAGAAACAAGCCTGTGGTAAACAGCCTTTGCTGTGGGCTGCACGTCCCAAGCCAAGTGCTGATGGACACACAGGACTGTGCGTGGCCAAAGCCACACGTGACAGCGTCCCCCCACTTGCATCACCTCCCTGTGGCTCAGCAGCAATGGAGCAACCTCCTGCACCCGTGCCTGAGCTCACCCCTGGGGTGGGACAAGAGCCACCGTGGAGAGACCACGGAGTGCCACGGCTTTAGGATGATCCCACCATACCTGTGTCAGGCCGGCCGTGGCCGGAGGTGACGGAGAAGCCGAAGGCGCCGTCGGGGGGTCGCTGCAGCTCCAGCTGGCTGGTGCCATCAGGGAAGACCTCAACCACGCGCCCCACGGCGCGCAGCTGGCCGGGCGCCCCGATGTCCTCCACACTCAGCGAGCGCTGCGGCCCTGAGCCCCCCTTCCTGTGGGGAGAGGGAAGATGGGTGAGTGGGGACAAGGGAGGCTGCTGGAGACCAGGTGATGCAGCCCCTGGCAGCACTGAGCCACCACAGCAGCCCAGAACAGCATCCTGGGCACCACAGGGATGTGCCAGGCCCCATCCTACCTGTCACCCGTGGTCTGGGGCAGGAGGTAGGCACTGGCACGGCGTGCCTTTCCTAGTCGGGGATGCAGGCTCTGGATAGAGGCAGCTTTCTGGGGCTGGCAGAAAGGTGACACCTGTGGAGAAACACCTGGCTGAGATGGGGACAAACACTGTGCAGCATCACAGTGCTTCACCCACTGATGTGCCCAGGGAGTGGAGGAAATCGGGACATCCCACCCCCCTGGAGCACACCCCAGCTCACTGCTGAGGAGGCACAAGCATACCTGCTCTTCCACCACCACCCCTCTCTCCCTCCTCGCAGCAGGTTTGGAGCGGTGCATCCCCCCACGCCCCCTCCAGGACGGCCTGAGCCACAAATCCACACTCAGGAACACTTAATCCCAGCCCAGCATCCTTTCCCTTGTGCCACCCCAGTCTCCCCACGGGCACCCCCGCATGGGGCGATGTCCAAGCTCACCAGCTGCAGAGACTGCAGGGACGGTGACTTCTTGACACCAGGGCTGCCTGGCGGGGAGCCGCCGGGGGCCGGGAGCTGCTCCATGCTGTAGCAGCGGAAGCGGCCCAGGCGCTGCTTGGTGCTTTGGCTCAGGCTGCACAGCAGCTTCTTCAGCCCCAACGCCGAGGCGCTGCTGCCCTTGCGGCTCACGGGCTGCCCCGGCTCCCTGGGTGGAGAGGCGTGGTGCTCACACACCGAGTGTCTGGGGCCACAGCTGCCTCTGGGCTGGGGGTGCATCCTGCACCCGCCTTGGCAGCCGTGAGAGCTGCAGCACGGTGACATCGGGGTGCACGGTGAGATTGGGGGCAGCCTCCTCCCCGCAGCAGTGACCCAAGTTTGTTGCTACCCAAAGTGACCTGAAGGGCCCCCCTCCCTGTTTTCTCCATTATTTCAGGGGTTTAACACATCTCAGAAGTCCCCTGCTGTGCCCCAAGGGATCAGATCCTGGGCTCAGAGGACCCAGCAACACCTTGGAATTCTCCTGCCAGGCTGAGACATGCAGCACCAGGCACAGGGCTAGCAGGATCGCACTTGGAAAGCCCCAAGGCAGCTGATTTTCCTCAAAAAGGAAGAACCCGACACCAGCGAAACACCTCTGTCACATCTGCTCTAACATCCCTGGCAGAACCAGATGTGGGGAAACGCAGCTCCCCCAAACCCACAGCAACACACGGGCACATTGTAACCCCCACGCTGTGGTTTTTGGGAGGCTTTTGGAGCCAGGGAGCTCAACTCAGCAGCATCCTGCAGTGGCCAGGAGGGATGCTCAGGGCTGCCCGTGCTCACTCACCCGTGTGCCACGCTCCCGGCCAGCTGCCCCTGTGGCTGCACTCCCGACGTCCTGGCACTTTCCCCGGCAGCATGAGCATCCTCCAGGGGCACGGCGGTGACAGGGCTGGCAGCAGGGTGTGACAGTGTCCCTGCGACCACAGAGAGACAGTCACATACCTGTTTCACTGGGGACCCCCACAACACTCCATGTGTGGGTTTCTTACCTCTGCCCGTCCCTGAGGCGTCCTGCCCGTGGGTGTTGTTGCAGTTGTTGGTGGACAAGGCACGGAGGGGGCTCCCCGGGAGCCACCTGGGGCTGCAGGGGCTCCGCCGCTCGGCCGGCGCCGCCGTGCCCCCGGGCTGTGCTGGGGCTGCGCTGCCAGCATCCGGCTCCGGGCCCCGGAGTCCTTGGCTCGGCGCCTGGCGGCTGCTGCTGGCCAACAGGGCTTTCCTGCAAGGCATCTGGGCACAGGCCTTCTTGGTAGGAGGGGGAGCAGGGACGTGGGTGCCTGGGATGGGGGTGCTGGTCCTCAGCTGCGAGGAAGGCTCCAGGGGCTCACTGGGCTGCTGTGGGTGGCGAGCCGTGTTCCCCACTCCCTTGCTGCCCCCCAGATGTTGATGGGGTTCCCCATCTTCCCGGCTGCTGGCTCTTCCCGGCGGTGGGGGGCAAACAGGCCCCGGAGCCGAGCGCCCGTCCTCGGGGCCAGCGCTGGCCACACAGGTGCCCCTCCTGGCCCTCGCCTCCGGCTGCGGGGCGGCGCGGGGAGCTCTGTGCCCGCGAGCGCGGGGGTCCCGGTGCCCCCGCAGGTGGGGGCTGCGGGGTCCTGCCTCCTCGCTGTCCGTCCGGCAGCCGTCGGAGGTGTCCGTGCTCTCCAGGGCCGAGTCCACCTCGTCGATGTAGGTGACATCCCCGATGTAGGTCTCCTTGATCTTCTCGGTGTGGATGCGCTGCCGGGAGGGTAGGATCCACAGCGGGGACCCTCCGGGGCCCAGAGGCCTGATTTTAGGCTCTGTCTGGGCAGCGCTCGGCCCTCTGCTATCCCCTGGGACGCTTCTTTGTGCCGCAGGGCTACTTTTAGCCAGGTCGGGGGCAGCTTGCGCGTCCGTGCCCCGGCCGGCGGCAGCACCGAGGAAGGAGCCGCAGGCGCTGCACTTGCCCCCGGCCACGAGGTCGCCGCTGCGGGCTTTGGGCTGGCCAGCGCCGTCGCCCGGCTGCCTGCTGCCGGCCGGCTCCGGTGTGACCGCCGAGCCCAGCGCCCGCCGGTGCCGCAGCTGCAGCCGCTCCAGGTACCGCACCTCGGCGTCCCGGGCCGACTCGTCCTCGAAGCGGACGCGGGACGGGGACGGTCCCCGCGGCCGCCGCGGCCGCCCGCAGCTCGACTCCCCGCTGGACGAGTCGCTCAGGCTCCCGCCGTCCCGCGGGGCGACGCTCGGCCTCCCGCTGGGCTCCCTGCCACGGGGACAGACAGACGGACGGACGCCCTGCAGGGGCTGCTCTGGGAAAGCAGGGCGGGAGGGCGAAAGCCCAGTGCAAAAGACAGAGCAAGGAGGAAAGTCCGCCCGGTGCTCCCTGGCTGTGCACAGCCCTGCTTCCCTCCAGCCTGAAGCTGAATTCCGAAGAGGCTGCGACACCCCCCTGCTGCCACGGCTCGACCTCCATCGGCCCTTCCCTGCCCGAGGTGTGTGGTTAATCATTCCAGGAACACCACATCGCACATGACCTGGCGAGACTCCGCTTGGTCCAGCCTCCAGCAGCGAGTCTCGCCCGGGAAAACATTCCCCATCAGCTGGGAAACGCCATCCTCCCACCACTGATATTTCCGTGTGATCATAAACCACAATTAACTAAACACCCCCAAACGCTGGGGAAGTGGTCGGGCACGTCCAGGGTACGAGGCCGCACTGCGTGTGCGGCAGGTCGGATCGCGGCTCCGCACGCACGCACACCTGCACACGTGTGCCCGCTCCAAACACGGCGTGGACGTGCCCCAAACCCGGCTGGGGGCCTGGGAACACCGTGGGGACAGGGGGTGGCACTGACCTGGGCTGTGGGACGGCGGCGGGGACGAGGAGGATGTCGTGGCTGGCGCGCAGCGGGTTCGTCCGAGCCTTCATGCGGGCGCGCTGCAGCAGCTGCTTGGCCTGCTCGTGCCGCGGGCTCAGCTCGAGCTCCTGCCCGGCCACAAAGGCCCTGCGGCCCCGCAGCGGGCAGGGGGATTAGGAAAAAATAACAGGGATTAGGCGTGCTTTAACAGCAATGACGAGGCTGCTCTGCCCAGGGAAAACGGGGCTTGGCCGCCATTCATGGGCGGGCTGGCGGCCGCGCCGGGGGATGGCCGGGCAGGCACCCCTCACCCCCTGGCGCCAGGTGAGATTTTGGGGAAGTTTCAGCACCCACACAGCTCGGGCAAAGGCTCAGCCGAGCCAGTGCTTTGTGCCACGGGCATCCCTGAGGTGGACAGGGAAATGGTGGTAGGCACCACTTCCCGTTCCCGTCAATCCTGTGGCGATGGGGAGGCAGGGAGGTTTGATTGTCTTGCTGCCTTCCCTTCCTTGCAGGGGATCTTTCCCCACATCCCTATCCCCCTCTGACTGCAGGGTGAGGGACCTGACAGCTCTCCCTGCTGCACCACTGCCTTCCTGGTTGGCCATGGCCCTAATCCTCCTGATTAAAATAATCAGCTCAGGCAGTCTCCTCGGGAAGCCCAGCCTTAACCTCTTCAGTGCAGCACGGTGGGCACACGCTGCCTCCCCAGCAGCACCATGGGCAGCACAGGCCTCCCCCAGGCTTTGGCTGCCCTGCTCACAGGAGGTGCTGCATCCCCAGCTCTGCCTTGCACCCTCATCACTGATCCAGCTGCCAGAGCAGAGCAGAGGCAGTTACCACAAGACTGGGGGTGGGGGGGGGGGGTTTCCCTGCTCACGGTTCTGCCCTTTCCAGCCTCTCACCTGCCTTTGCCACCTCCTTATTTTTAGTCCATTCCTCTAAGGTTTTTCATTAGTCCAACAAGATTACACACTCCTGCTGCCTCGATCCTCTTAAGCACCTGGAGCAAATTTCTGTCCCATCCTCTTCCCCAGTTCCCTTCCTGCTCTGGTGTCCTGGCAGGGATGTCCTGAGCTCAGACACCAGGGAGACACCCAGTTCCTGCCCCTTGTCCCACAGAAGCATCACTGAAGCCCAGCCACACTCCCTCACCAGCTGCCCCACAGCCCTCCCCTGGAGCTGCTTCAAAATGTGCATTTAAAATACAAGACTGGGGAGTGGGAAAGAGGGAAATGTCCACTTCTGCCACACTGGAACTGACCTACCTGCAGCCCTCAGCATCCTGCAGCGAAACCCCCGAGTCCCAGTCCCCATCGCTCGCTGGCATCTCTGAAATGCAGGACAGGACAAGGCATTAGCCTGGTTGGATGGCACCCCCATCCTCTTGATAGCACCCCCCATACATCCCATCCCAACACCCTCTGCGGGCTCTCCCAGATATTTGGCTCTGAGAGATCCCAAAGGAGTGGAACGTGGGGCAACAGCACCTGGCTGTAGGTGTGGGACTGTGGGGATGGGGATATGGGGTCATCAGGGCAGATGCTATCAAAGGAGAAATGTATTCTCTTTTCTGGTGGCAGTTTGCAAAGGGACAGTGATGCCCACAGACCTGGCGTGTCCCCGAAATTTCCTTGCTCTTGCTTCGGCAGTGAAATTCCTCACCGGGACACCAGAGGGGACTGACAGGTATCACCCAGAGCATCTCGCGAGCACCTCCTACATCCCGGTAAAGGGGATGGGGCAGCCCTGGGGTGTGAGGCAGCAGGGAGCTGCACCTGCAGCGTGGGAGGCTGGAGGCTGGTCCTGAGGACTCCCGCCATCCCAAAGGTTTTCCCTCCCGCTTCCCCCAGCTGTACTGAGCGAGCCACCACCTTCCCAAAACACCCACCGGGAGCGGCAAGGCCCAGCACCTCCTGCAGCAGCCGCCGGTTCCTCTCCACCCGCTCAGCCAGCGAGAGCCTCTCCCAGCTCTGCGCCGCGGGGCCGGGCACGGAGGGGCGGCCCCGGTCCCGCAGCGGGGTTCGAGCCTCCTCATCCAGGGAGGGTCTCTCACGGAGGGGGACACAGTGCCAGGACCTGCTGCCCTCGTCCGGGGGGAGCTCGGCGCCTCCCGGCACGTCTCCCCCGGGGCCCGGGACCCTCCAGAGCCCCGCGGTGGCGGCGCGGGGCGCGGGGCCGGGGGCGCTGCCGCCGCCGTCCAGCAGCCCGTCCGTCAGGTAGGTGCGGAGCTGCGCCCGCGGCTCCTCCGGGCCCGCCTTCCCCCGCCGGGGCCGCGGCTTCTTGGGCGAGGGGCGCTCGGGGGCGGCCGCGGGGGTGCCCGGCCGCCCGCCCCGCTTCTCCTTCAGCGCCTTCACCTTCCCCTCCAGGACGGCGTGGGGGCCGCGGGCGGCCTCGGGGCGCTCCAGCGGGGCAGGGCTGCGGCCGCCCTGCGGCTGCGGCTTGGGGGGCCGCGGCAGGCGCCGCGCCTCAGCGGGAGGGCTCCTCTCCATCATTCCTGTAGGGATAAAACCCTGGGCGTGACCCCTGCACTGCCCTCGCCCTCCCCAGCGCCCACCCACCCGCACAGGGCATCACCCCGCCCGACCTGGGGGGTTAAAGCACGCGATGCCACCGGCGTGTGCCTGGAGAGGAAGGGCACGGGGAGGTGACACAGAGGCCACCCGTCCACCCTGAGCACCGACGCTCCGCCGGCATCACTGGGGAGCAGGAGGAATGGGGCATCAATGGGGCAGGGGGGAACGGGGCAGCAATGAGGGATCGGTGGTTCCCCAAAACGGGTGGCCAGGGGCTGGGCTGCAGTGCGAGTGCCCGCCCACACTGCTCCAGGTGCCCTGGGGCACCCAGCAAGAAGACCCGGAGGGAACTGACACTTCCTGAGCTAAACCAGGGCCCCAAACCTCCGCGGGACACAAATCCCTCCCGGCGACAACTCGCCGAAGGTGCCACCAGACAGACGCCAGCCCCTGCTCCGCCCCTGCCCCCGGGGCCACACGTGGCACTCGTCCTGCGCCCGCCTCGCGTCCCGGTGGCACCGAGGAGCCGCTGCCCTCCTACACCCCGCCGGCAGCATCCCGTCCCGTCCCGTCCCCGCTGGCAGCCCTGGAGGAGCCTCCCCCGCGGCCGGGGCTCCGGAGCATCCCCGGGGCACCCCCCGGGCCCCCAGCTCCCCGCAGCCCCTCACTGCCCCAGCCTGAGCGGGACGGGGCCACGGGCGGGATGCCAGGGCAGTCCTTACCCCCGGAGCAGCATCGGGAGAGGGCTGGGAAGAAGGAGAAGAAAGCGGAAGAAGGGAAGGAAGGAGGGGAGGGAAAAAAAAAAAAAAAAAAAAAAAAAAGGCCAAACCAGCAAATCCCAGCCCCTCCAGACGAGCCCGAGCTCAGCCGCTTGGCTGGGCTGCGGGGCCGTGGCTGGCCCTGCCTCCCGCCCCGGCCTCCTCCTCCTCCTCCTCCTCCTCCTCCTCCTCTCCGCGCACCGGGCCAAAGCCGGCCCGGGACCGCAGGGCCGGGGCTCGCTGGGGACAGGGGTGACCCCGCGCTGGACCAGGGAACTCCAGAGAAGGGAGCCAGCAGCACGGAGGGATCCCGGCTGCCCTGGCCCGACCCCAGGAATCCCTTTGGGCTGCGGGGCCGGGCCGTGCCCGCTGCCGGGGCGGCTGTCCCGCACCCCGGCATGGGGCCGGTGCTCCCGGCGGTGCGGGGGCATTTCTCCAGCAGCAAAACCCGCCGGCTCTCGGCACCTTCCTGCGAGCATCACACGTTTGCAGCTGTGCTAAATTCCCCTGCTTGGACCCACGGGCAGCCAGGCCCGTGGCATTTCCAGGGAGCCGAGCTGGGCGCATCCTGCACATCCCTACCCCCAAACCCGGCATGCCACACGTGCCTGCCCCCCCACACCAACACCCCCGTTCTGTCCCCCACCCCGAGGCCCAGGAGGGTCCCGGGTGGGCAATGCTTACCTGCAGGTGCCAGGGCTGAGTCCCTGGGGGTGTGAGGGGGCCCAGGGTGTCCCAGCCCCGCTCCGGCTGCCGCTTTAAGCTCTGGCTTTTGATATTCGTGATTGGTTTCATAATCCCGATCAAAAGGAAATCACCAGGATTATGAAATTGTTTTAATCCCCCTGGCTCTGGCCACACCAGCCCCTGCCAGCACGAGCAGCAAGAAATCACTTTTATCTTCTTAAAATATCCCCAGCCACCCTGGTGGCCCTGGGGCTCTCAGCACAGCCAAACCTGAGCCCAAGGGCCTCCTGCCCCACGGGGGGTGACAACAGGGGTGACTCCATGGGGGACAGGAGCATCTTCACTTGGCTGCTTCCAGGCAGGAAGGGCCAGCTGAGAGCTCTGTGTGGAACAGCCCAGGGCAGAGGAACCACCCTCGTCCTGTCCCCCTGGGGCACTGGGGTCCAACCTCCCCTGTGATGCCAGGACCCATCCTTACCTGCGGGCCATTCCAGAAAGGGAAGCTGGCTCCTTGGCCTGGGCTGTAGAGGTGACACGCCTGGGAGATGTCCCCACAGAGCTGGGGTGAGGTGCCAAAGCCGGGGCAGCAGGAGGGCTCCTGCCACCAGCCAGGAAAGCCAGCAGGGAGCTGTGGCTGGGATTAAACCTCTGGGAAGTGGCTGCTGTGAGCAGCAACAGGCTTAGAGCGATTGCAAGGCTCTGGGCTCTCTTCTGGAGGGAGATTGATTGCAAGAGGCAATGAAGAGATTTAAAGAGCAAAATAAAAGCACAGACCCCAGACAACCCAGGGCTGGGCTGTTCAGCCTCTGGTCACACATTGTGCTGGCAGGACACCACCTTGGACTGGAGATCAGCTGGAGAGGGGCAACCAAAGGCTCCCAAAAGGACCACGAGCCTTTGGCCAGCACAGCACAGTCTGGGCAGGAGGTCTCCTCCAGTGCCAGACCCTGGCATGTTGGGTGTGAGCTGGGCTGGTACTGGAGGAAACCTGGGCTGCTTCCTGTGAGCCCCTCCAACCTCTCCTCAGACATCTCCCTCCTCCAAGCACCTCCTCCTCCTCCCAGGACATGGATGTCCTCCACCTCCAGCCACCAGCGACATCCCACAGCTCCCAAGGGAGCGACAGCAGCAGGAGCCAATGCTCCATGGGTGGATGCAGCACAGGGGTGAGACTTGGGAAGACACACACACAGACCAGGGACAAAAGAGCCATCAGATCATTGGAAAACAAAGAGCTTGTAATAATGAAAAAAGGACAGATTTCGTAACCAATCACTTTTTCCTTTGAAAAAACACAATCACAGTAACTTCGCTGTATACAACCACCTAGAAACTATGAAACAGTATCACATTGTGCAGTATTTTTTTTTTTTTAACCTACTTATCAAGAAGGGAATTCCACACTTCAAAAATTATATCCATTTGGGGAGGAAGGAGGAGACAGCTAATAGCGCAGTCACAGATACATCATGAGTCCAAGCAAGCGGCAAATCTTTGTCCTCACCTTTTCCACTGAGCCAAAACAGAAGAGTGGAGAAGGGGATAGCAAAAGAGAAAGGAGGGGGGAAGAAAGAAAGCACCCACAGAGGACTAATCACACTCCATAATTACTTTTGACATCTACAGGGCTTCATAGAAAGATCATTTAGACCAACACAGTGGGGAGGGGGAGAGGAAGGCGGCAGCGGGGCCCGGGGGGAATTTGGCATTTCCACTCCGGGCCCCTTCCGAGCGCCGATCCTTCGCCACGAGGACCTACGGGATGGAGAGGTCATGGCAAGTTCTGCCAGGATGCCCAATTTCTCCTCTGGAGTGAAGAGTTTGCAATTTGGTTTACAGAGCTTGAGGGACCGTCAGGCTGCAGGGCACCTCGCCAGGCAGGGGCTGTGCCCGGGCCAGGGCAGCCTCTGGCTCCCACCGGGAACAGGGCTGGGGTGTCAGCATCGGGGAACTTCCCGTGTTGTGCCCCTTCCCTCTCCTTTTCCAAGGTGTTGCAGCAGGGATCGAAGCCCCCAGGGATGGTGACACACCAGTTTAGCCCACGGTGGCAGGAGGGGACACTCGCCCCAAGGTGCAGAGTTTGGGATTGGGGTCATGTAAAGGAGGCAAGGTTTGATGAGGTGACAGCCACTGAGCCCAGCCGTGACTGCTGCAGAGGTACCGTAGGGATTTCCCACTCTTCCCCCAAGAGCCTCAGCCCCTCTTTTCCAAGGAGACAAAACAATCAGATTGCCTTCTGGAATAAAAATGTTAATTTAAAAAAAAAAAACATTAAGGCAGAAATCACCTTCCCTCTGCAAGTGCAAAGCAGAAGGGCGGAGGAGAGGACGGAGGACATGGAGCCGGGATGCAGCATGTGAGCAAAGTGGAGTTTGTGTCCCCAGCTTGCCAAGCCATGTCCCAGCCCCAGGACACTTCCCAGCACGTGGCCTGGCGCTGGGACACAGCCCCTGAAGCCCAGCGAGCAGAGCAGGGCAGCATCCTGCAGGACAAGGCCAAACCCACTCGGCCGTTCAAACACAGCAAAGGCTTCACGCTGTCCCCACTGCTGGCTGGAAATAAAATCCCCAGGGATTGTTTTCTCCTGAACCAGGAACGGGTTTTCCCTCCCTGCCTGCCACACTGGCGCTGCAGCTGAGCACCAGTACAGAGGCACAACGAGCAGCACAAGAGTTTTTAGGGAAATGGGAGCAGCAGGATCCAACTCTGCTGAGATTTCCACCAGAGATCTCTGCCATTCCAAAGTGTTCATGCTGAAGGCTGCTGCCAGTTTCTTTCATTGGGATCAAACAGCAAAGACACTGAGAGAATGAGGAGCAGGGTTGGGAAAGGTGTAGGCTGAACACCAGCTGACTTTGGGAATGCACCTGGATGAGAGAGGTAGGAGCTTCCTGGATACATACAGGCTGCAGCCAGGACTGCTGCAAATGTATTTCTTTTAAAATGTGATGGGACAGCACGGGTTCTCATTGGAGAGCCCCCACTCCCGCTTGCAGAGTCCAAAGATCCCAATCCTGCCCTGCTGTCCTGTCAGGAACACACCCATGGCACGTGGCATTGCCCTGCCCAAGCACAGGGACCTGGAGTTTCTGGTGACACCATCCCAAAGCCACACAGGGAACCCCAGCCAGCAAATAAACTCTGCATGCTGCAACACCTCACCCTGCAACCACAAAACGCCCAGGGGAGCAGCAGGATGGAAAGCAGGAGGGAATCAGCAGGGAGAAGCAAGTTCAAAGGGAACCTCCAAAAGTCACAAATGCCACAGGGTGGCATCTCCTCTCCTTAGACTGCACCTGATGGATTTCACCAGACCAAAGCAGCTCCACACCACCCTCAGAGCTGTACAATCCAACCTCCACTGAATCACGAGGCACAGCCCAACACCTGAAATCCACGGCTTAAAGACCTTCCCCAGCTTCCACCTCCCATCCAGCTGCATCCCAACAATAAAAGCAGTGGATAAACCCCTCATCCCCAGCTCCTTTTGATGCTGCTCTGTCCTTCTGCTCTACCACCCTGCTGCTGTCC